GCTTTAAACTCCTAATATTCCTAATATCTAATTTTAAAATGATATATAGACATCAATTTTTCAATTTAATAAATGAGTGGTCCTTCAATTTTCTCCCAAACTACAGGAATGATCTTTTAATTTAGTCCACACGTATACAGTTCATTTTAGTGATTTAGTCTACTTTATGATTCAATTAGTTTATTATCCTACTAGGTAACTAAACAAATTAACACATAGAGTTGTTTGGTTTTTAAATTAAGATATGACAGAAACTAGATGAATGGGGAAAAAGTGGAGTTATTTTAATTTTCTCCTTTCCTTTTTTATTCTTTTAGCATCTCTTCTGCATTCGAAATTCTCAAATTACTTGAATATTGGTCAAGTTATATTGATGCTAGCCGCTTGCCCATAGCTATTTGCCTATCCAACAATAGCAAAAATATGCCTAGCTAGTGTAATTCTACAAGTGGGGTCTAGAGAGGGTAGTATGTATGCACATTTTATCTTATCTTGTGAAGGTAGATGGGTTGTTTCCGATAGACCATCGGCTTAAGGAAAACATAATCACAACTGTTTAGAAAAAAAATGATAATAAAGAAGCCATAGAAAAGGAAGCAGTAACAATAAGATACGTAATAAGCAAACCAAAGCAGAAGAACATCAGGTAGTAATTATATGGGCCAAAAAATATCTTTGATATAGGTAAGCCACGTCAGTGCCATGATAGCCTTCATCGGCTGCCACGTGCTATCAGTAAGGTCTCAACAAAAATCTGCCCCAGGTCGAAGTAGCCTCAAAGCGATGAAGGGTGTGGTCGGAGAATCAGCAAAGATCAAGGTCGTGAAATCATCGCAGATCAAGGTCGAGGTCGAGCATCTTAGATAGAGTTATAACGACTAATTTTAGGATAGGACACTAAAGAGAATATTCTAGTGGATAATCTCTACACCTGTATTATTAGGGTTTCTAGGAATATGTCCCCTATAAATAGAAAACGACACAATGATAGGGGACATGAGATATTCACTTGTAAGGATAACACATTGACTTTATAGAGAGAATCTGGTCACACTACAAGCATACGAAAACAGCTTTTTTACTAAGATTCTTGTCTAATATTTTCCACTTGATCCAAAAACAACCCGAGTGTTCTAAGGCTCATCAATCATTCATCATTATCAGAAAGAATACCCATCGATCCCACCCCATTTCGGGCGAGTCACACGTTTTTATTTACTTAATGTCATTCATTACTATTTATTGTTGTTTAATACTATCTTTCATCTTTTTGGATCATTAAACACTTTCATTATTGCTCACAATCATTACTATTCGATCAAATATACACATTATCTGTCATAAAACCGATAACCTTATCTTTTGGATATTATTATTAGCTAAGATTGTCTCTTTTTATTTAAATCTAATTTGTTGAACCAAAATTTGCATACATTCTACCCTCCTCAGACACCACGAGTGGGATTCTACTGGGTTGTTGTTATTGTTGTTGAACCAAAATCTATATTTTAGGTCAAACAATAATAGAAATCTAAGAATAAAGAAATACAAGAATAATTACAAGTACTACTAGTAAGGAAATGACTTGACTACCTACTAATCTTCTACCATAATTCTCGATCTCCACATCTTCCTATTAATTTAAAAAAATATAATGTAATTACAGTACTAAATATGGTCTACTTTATATGATCTTAAGCACTTCTAACCTCATAAGGTAATTACTTTGAATTGAGTTAGATTCAAGATTCACTAGTTTTTTAAAATATGGTATTGGAGGCTTTAATGTAGGTTTTTTTTAATATGGTATCGGAGTTAGCCACAGATTGCATTATTGCAATAACTGGTTTATTTGTTTTCAAACAAAATAGGAACATGATGAGTTAGCCTTCTCCATCACTTCACTATTTTTTCTATTTATTAAGCAGCAAAATATGTTGGGGAAAAAGAACAGCAAATACAAATAATTAAGGAATACAACTTGTACCATGCCTTGGTGCTTAGCTCCTACGGCCTACCTAGCTAAAGTCTCGAATATATATTATAAGTAGCTGAAAAGTTTCATCGAAATTGGAGTTTTAACACAAAAAGATTGATAGTTAAAAAGCTACAACTTAGAAAACAGATTTTGGCTTTTCAAGCACAAATGAAGTCTACTTGGAAATAGGGAACATGTTCATCTTTTTTGTTATTTCTTCATTTTTAAACTTTAAAATTTATATTAAATACATTAAAGACAGTATAACGAATATTTATACTATATACATAATATATCTGTTGTAGTATATTATCTACCTTACTTCTTAGGTTATTGATCTCATTCATTATTGATCGTTACAAATAATTAGTATGTTTTAAATAACGTGATAATGTAAAATTTTTGTTGATGATTCTAAACTTTATATATTATGAATTTCTTGACGATTAATTTCTGCAGAGAGATCCACTTTTGTTTTTAGTACGGTCAGTCACATGAATTCAATTGAATTAATTCCTTTTATTGTAAAGCATTCACTGACTCAATTCTGTTCAGAGTAGTCTCTCTCTAGTCAAAGATATAAAGATTCACCAAATGAAGACAAACAAATGCCATATCAAAATACGTAAAAATATTCTGCAGCATCTTTTCTCTTGCAATGGAAGAAAGAGGTGGGGCAAGGGAAGAAACTTTTAAATTATTTTGAGTTTAAGTTTTATACATCTTCAATATAAGAGTTTTATATATTATGTTGTGTTTACTTTTTATAGCAGACAATCATTTTGTTTTTTAGTTTACCAATTTTGTATTATTGGGAGACTTACTTGTAAATACCCTTTGAGTAACTTAATAGTATAAAAAAAACACAGTATATAAAACTTAAACTCATTTAATAATGATCAATGCAAATAGCTATAAGAAAATTATTTGTACAATTAAAATATGCATAAGAGTGATTAATGACAAATTAAGCTATTAAAGAAACAATTTTTGCATAAATAGTTCGTGCATAACTCCACACTAATAGCTTCAGCATTATAATCTCTTAAGTTGTACGTAAATCAACTTGTTATTACTCACTAGCTATTATCAAAGCTTACACTGTACCATTTTGCTCTCTTCGTTTCAATTTATGTAATATATTTCGCTTTTCTAAATTCATATTATCTGAAGTTTGACCAAAATTGTACTCCATCCATGTCAATTTCGGAAAAGGGTCAAATATATCCTGTGCTATTAGAAAATGTTTAAATATACCATACTTTGAGTCTAAATATACTCCTGTCGTTATACTATTAGTTCAAATATACCATTTTCCGTTAAGTTTGTCCAAAATGGACATCCAATCCTACGTGACACTGACATTTGATGAGGTGAATGCCACATGGCTTGCCACCTCAGCGCCCCTAACCCATTTTACCCCTCCCTTCTATTTTTTTCCACCACTATTGCTACTATTGCAGCTGCCATGAAAAATATTGTATTTCAAATTTTAGTCTTTTATATATGGATTAGGGGTGGCAAACCATGTGGCATCCACCTTATCAAATATCAATGCCACGTAGGATTGGATGTCCATCTTGGACAAACTTAACAGAAGAGGGGTATATTTGAACCTATAGTATTACAGCTGGGGTATATTTGGACCCAAAGTATAACGAATGATATATTTAAATCTTTTGTTATAGTACAAGGGTATATTTGGCCCTTCACCGTTTCAATTTAGATGAGGTAGTTTGACTCGACACGGAGTTTAAGAAAAAAAGAAGACTTTTAAAACTTGTGGTTTTAAAAGCCTAAGGGGTAAAAGTTTTGTGAGATCCTGACATTTGTGTGGTTATAAAAACTTCTCATTAAGGGTAAAATGAATAAAATGAAGAGTTTAAAATTGAATTATTTCCAAATTTAGAAGTGCGTCATTTATTTTGGAACAAACTAAAAAGAAAAGTAACTCGTCTAATTTGAAATAGAGGGAGTAACTTATAATATTTTCTTAGTAATATTTGAATATCTAAATTTTATTTTTAGAATATTGAGTTGAACTAATTTGATTTAGCTTCAAAAATTAATCAAATTGACTCTCAATAAATGAATATATAAATTGAATCAGAGATAGTATCTATCTAGTCATTCAATATTCAAAGTACACTAGCATGACTAATCTAGATTATGAACAAATAAGTTCCTAACCAAAAATATAAATTTTACTAACCAAAACTTACTGATTAAAAGTAAGGGAATACTTACCATCCCATTCCATTCTGGTTACATAAAATTGTGTGCGCTACATTTTTCTTGTTTTAGACAAGCATAGACCCC